GCTAGTTAATGGTTAAATTTAGTTCAAAATATAAAATTTCAGTTTATTTTGTCTCTTATATCATTTTTTTCAAACTAATTTATCTAACTTATAAGTTAATATAGAATCTAATTTTATAGAGGATTACTTCAGGGAGATTGCATCACATTTCTAAAAATTAACTAATTTATCTTATTTTTTTAAACTATATAAAATTAGTTAAGTAGCTTTTACGTTAAAAATTAGAAGAAATAAGAATCATTCGTCATCAAAGTAATTGGAAAAAACATCCTCAGTTTCAAATCAATCACCACCATCGATTGCCGCGGCAAGGTATCCTCATTCCTGAGCATCACCACGCAATAATAAATATCTCTCACAATCCATGCATGCCGCGGTGTTAAATACATGCATGTGATATTTTCTCCGTTTAATTTCACCATGTAATATTTTACACTGTAACGTCTTTTTCTATTTCCATCTCTCCTTATTGAAGGATAAAGTTGTCAAGTAAATAATTAATATCTTATTGAAATTATAGAATGACCATTGTTCGGAAACAAAGCTAAGCACCCGAAATTAATAAAACTTACAGAAAAAATTAACATAAATTAATTAAACTTTATAATGTTACTCCATTTGGTTTTTAATACAGAAGCTTATTCAGATGTTTGTTTTGATTGTAAATATAAGACTCTAATTTATTTTATTTTTTAAATTTATAATTTATCCTCAAACCATACATATTTATTGCATATATTAAATTAGGGCTTTCTATAGAAGTAGCTCCAATTACAAATAATTAAAGAGGATATTTTAGATAAATAAAAAATATTTGCATAGCTTACTCTTTTTATTGTTTTTGGGTTCAAGTGCAATTTTGACTATGATCTTATTTTTTATGTGCAATTTTGCCTCTAATCTTTCAGTAAAGTAATTTTACTCTTAGTCTTATTTTTCAAGTACAATTTTATTCTTGATTTTTTCGGGTGCAGTTTTACCTTTGATTTTTAGTGCAATTTTACCCGTTAGGATCAAAACTGCACTCCAAAAAAATCACAGTCAAAACTGTACTATTAAAAAGATTAAAGTTAAAATTGTAACTAAGAAATAAGATCAGGGTTAAAATAGTATCTTAACCCTTGTTGTTTTCTTCATCCCCATTAAACAAAATTCTTTCAAACTTTTCAAGTCTTCCGGCTTTCTTTCCCACGTCTTTGCCACAGATAACAGCCTATCACTTATGCAAAGAGTATAAGTCTTCGTCTTCAGTTACTCTGAAATCGCAGATTCATACTTAATTCTGCTCCGTCATTAATGGAATTTACAGAGGAGCGTCCCTTCTTATCTGCTTCTGCGAAATTGCATCAACTAAAGTTGGAGAATGCTTTTACGGTCTCCCAATTCTTTTCCAAAGCAACTTCACTACTTTCCAACTACACTTCTTTTAACTTCCACATATAAATCATTTCTAACCATCTAACTAAAATTAAGATGAGAAAGTTAAATGATGGCAAAAGTTTTTGTTTTTTTAAACTTTAAACGAGATTTCATTTTGATGATTTAATTTTATAAAATTTTTTTTAATCTTTAATTCTAACACTGCTAGTTTTATCAACAAAAAATGCCGGCATTAAAATTTTAATAGTTGACAAAACATTCACAAATGCTGATATATTAAATTTGATTTCTTAAAATTACAATGATTGGCACAAAAATATCATTATCTAAGATTAACTGTGTTAGGGTTAAGTACTGGGAAAAATATTTTATAAAATTAAGTAATAAAAATGAAATCTTGTATAAAATTAAAAAATCAATTTGCATTTTTGTCTTGAATCGTTAGCTATGTTGTGAATGAAAATTTTTCAAATCAATCCTTATTTAAAAACATGAATTGAAAAGATGATAAATACTCTCTTATGCCTTACAAAAAATCATCATCCATGTCAAGTCCTTCCCAACTTTTTCCCCTCAGTGAAATAAATGCCCAACAGAGTCATTATACATAATCATCAAGTTTTACGACCTTTTCTTTCTTTCTTATTTTTTTCTCCAATTCTTCTATGCTTGTATGAAACGTGAAGTAGTCATCAATGTTACAAATATTTATCTTTGAAATAAATACTCATATCTCACTGTTTGTTTTTAACTTGTCCACATGGTCTCTGTTTGTTCTGTGTCTTCCCCTGTTTGAGCTATATTCCCCAAAGTGCGTTTTAATGCATACGTATATATATACACTTTTTAGTACTTCAATATAGTTGATCGTTTCCATAAAAATAAAAAAAACAATGTAAATTCTGAAATGTGGACTTTGAAGTCTAAATCGTTGGGGGAAGAAGACTATGAAGTCTGTATCCAAATACTAAAACTTGTATTTCTGAGAAGCAAGGAATTTGGTGGGAATCATCTATCTTCTTTAATTTCTTGATCCAAAGGCCCATTTAAAATATTTGAAGAATGTGTCAGCCTTTAAACACTATTAATATTGCCAGGACGATATATTTATCTTCCATAATTCTTTCATTAGCAATCACAACTTTATTGTATTTTAGATGTTCCTCAAATTAAAGTCACATGAACTATAATTCCACTCTTACGAAAGTTGCAAATAATCTTTTAGCTGGGGCTTCCTTCAATTAAACCCGTTTAGTTAGTGATTTTTTTTTTAGTATGAAATATATTTGTACGGTGGGCTGAACCCTAAACGGTTATGACGTCTGGATTGGATTTTTTTTTGGCTAAAGCATAGCTATCCTCCTATTGGAAGCACTGTCGAGTATTAAATGTGAGCACTTCTCTCAGTGGGAATTTGAATCATGGTTTACCATATAGGATTGGATATATTTAAATACTGCAAATAGAAGCTTATGAATTATGTTTTTAGGAAAAAGTTTATCTTTGAGTTGAGCCCAAATTGTATTCTGGATAATTAGGTTGATCATTTTGGATATTTTAAATGAGTATGATTGATTATGAATGAACATATATGTTATATTTTGAAATAATTATAGGTTTATGGATAAATTGTGATGTTGTCAGTGTCAAAGTGCCTCAACCCACTTGTTAGCTTATAAGGTTTTGCCTAATACTTTTAGTAAAGATAAGATTTAATCCTTTTCTACTCTATAAACTAATAAAAGGCACTTTTCTACTATGAAAATGTGATGTCAAGTCTTGTATATCTATACCTTGAACTTTTTGTAACCACAAAACGACGTTGATGATTAGTTGTACTTTTTTAAAAAATATCATGATTAACATTTATATTAACCGGTGAAATTCTTTTTTATTGCAATACTATGTTTAAAGGTTACATTCTTTTTTACCATAGTAGGATTAAAAGATTTTGATGAAAATGATTAGAACTTTATGGTTCATAAAATGGCATGAGTCACTGCTGACTCAATTATAGCTACATGAAAACATGTCAGATATTGTTAATAAACCTATAGTTATGTAACTTTTACTCAGCATTGAGAAAAAATTAGCATATCATAATGGGAAAAAGAACTTTGAATTTAAATAAAGAAAAAAATTACTTCATCACTGACCTGAGCTGCAACTTATTTCCACTTAGTAGGATCATCGAAGCTTTGTGGTCACAGCAACATAGATTTGGTCTACCATGCCATTAAAGAACCAAAAATAAGTGTGTATTCATGCTTTGTTTAGGATCAGAGAACCATAGACCACCCAGAATAATCCCACAGCAAAGCCAGTTCCCAGACCAAGATATAATGACTTCAAAAAAGGATCATCCTCATTTTCTTCATACACGCTTTGTATTGTTTGCTTTTTCTTATGTTGTGCAGTTCTTTTGAAGAGGTCCACAAAGCTTAGGATTTCCTATGTAACTGCATGCATCAAAAATTTGAAGCGGAGTCCCCAGTGGAAATTGTCCCATGAATTTGTTACATGACAAATTCAAAACACCTAGAAAAGACAAACTAGACATGCTTTGAGGAATATTAATTCCCATGAAGACTATTATAGGAGAAATCAAGATACTCTAGGTCTTTCATCTCTCCTATTTCCTCTGGTATTTCTCCTGTCAAATCATTATACGTCAAGTTCAATGATTGATTGTATCAGTTTGACCCTGAACAACTGCTTAGGAATTCTCCCAGATAGTTTATTTGCCGAAAGGTCAATACTCTATATAAAGAATTGGCTTGTCTCGTATTCTAATTCTTGACCCTTTGTATGCAAATTACTTCTGAGTTTAAATGGGATTGCGAAACCATCTGATAATAGTAGACCAGCAGGTATCGTTTGCGTGATGAACAGATCATTCAAAGATCCTAAAACCATGCTGGTTAAATTGTGAAGGCAATAAGGAATTGACCATAAAAGCTTGTTATGTTCGAGGTGCAAAACAATCAGCTTAGAGAGGCCACATTGCTGTGGAAGGAATGTTGCCTGTAAATTGATTAGATCTCAATTTCACTACTGACACATTTTGTGGCATCCATTTTGGTATACTCCCAGAAAAATTGTTTCCTTCCAGATTGCTGAGTAGTAAAGATTTGAAGTTCTGGAAAGTCAATGGCATATTTGTGACAGTGAGAGATGGACTTATTTGTGGTCTTCTCACTCTACCTTAGTTCAAGACATTAAACATGCATTGGAAATTGCACATGCATGCTCTGTATTACTTCCTTTCCCATCATTTCTTTGTTGCGTTCCTCTTGTCCCAACATAACTGATTGAAAGAAGTTACTCAGACTATTTAAGATATTCAGTAAAATGAAAGGAAATAAATAGGAAAAAATAAAGAGGAATATATAAAATATATAAACTTGAAGATGAAAGCCAAGTTTTGTACCACGTTTGGGACTTTGAAAAATGCAAAAAGCTTAATTTTTTCCCCTAATGTCATAATGCAGTACGTACCGGCAATTGATATGTGGAGTATAGGTTGCATCTTTGCAGAAGTACTTACAGAAAACCACTTTTCCTTGATAAAAATGGCATCATCAGTTGGATCTGATGACTGATTTGCTTGGGACTCCCTCATGGATACAATATCTCAGGTAAATTGATAACCCTTCCAGTGTTTGTGGAAAAAAATTGTTATTTAGGCTTGCTTTAGTCTCTGGCTAAAATTGTTTTTCACACGGCATTCTTCTATGTTGGATGCAGGTTCGTAATGATAAGGGAAGGAGATATCTGACTACCATGAGGAAAAAGCAACCTGTGCCATTTTCACAAAAATTTCCTAATGCAGATCCTTTAGCTCTACGATTACCAGAAAGATTGCTTGCTTTTGATCCGAAAGACCGGCCTACTCCTGAAGAGGTTTGTTACCTTTTGCTTTGTTGCCTATGTATGTGCATCGAGAAATATTATAGAAATATTATAAATTTGAAGATGAACATTGTAAGAAAAAGACAAGGTAGAAAGCTCAGAAAATTTTGCAGCAAGGGAAGTAGTATTGATAGATGGCGTGCTTATGCGGTCAAAGTCATTGTAGTGCAAATACAAAGAATCCCGAAATTCAAGTTGAAGCAATAAAGATAAGTTGATTTCACCTCTCAAGGATTTTGGACTCTTTTGATTTGGACTTTGCAGTAGAAGGGATATGACTCTGTCGTTGTAATCACACGAAACTCCTTCCCATGCACACCAATCTTCAGTATACATAATCACCAAGTTTTACGACCTTTCTTTCTTTCTTATTTTTTTTCCCCCAATTCTTCTTGCTTGTATGAAACGTGAAGTAGTCATCAGTATTACAAATATTGATCTTTGAAATAAATACTCACATCTCACTGTTTGTTTTTTACTTGTTCACATGTTCTCCGTTCGTTCTGTGTCTTCCCCTGTTTGAGCTCTATTCCCCAACGTGCATTTTAATACACGCACGCACGCGCGCGCGCAACTTTTAAGTACTTCAAATCGCTGGGGGAAGAAGACTATGAAGTCTGAATCCAATTACTAAAAACTTGTACTTCTGAGAAGCAAGGAATTTGGTGAGAATCATGTATCTTCTTTAATTTCTTGATCTGGAGGCCCATTTAAAATATTTGGAGAGGCTTTAAACACTATTAATATTGCCGGAACGATATATTTATCCTCTACAATTCTTTCATTGGCAATCACAACTTTATTGTATTTTAGATATTCCTCAAATTAAAGTCATATCAACTATAATTTCCACTCTTACGAAAGTTTACAAAAAAATTTTTGGCTGGGGCTTCCTTCAATTAACTCGATTAGTTAGTGATTTTTTTTTTGTTATTATGTGTCAAATAATCTATATATGAAATATTTGTACTGGGGGTTGAATCCTCAGCGGTTTATAACCTCTGGATGTTAGGATTGGATCTATTTGAATACCGCAAATAGAAGCTTATGAATTACTCCTCTGGTCCTAAATATAAGACCCTTATACTAGTGTATATAAGGGTCTTACATTTAGGACCGGAGAAGTATGTTTTTAGGAAAATATTTATCTGTGAGTTGAGCCCAACAGTTGGCTGGTGATATCCTGGATAATTGGGTTGCTCATTTTGGATGTTTTAAAATGAGTATGATTGATTATGAATGAACAGGTATGTTATATGTTTGAAATAATTAATTATAGGTTTATGGATAAATTGTGATGTTGTGGGTTTCAAAGTGCCCCAACCCACTTGTTAGCTTATAAGGTTTTGCCTAATGCTTTTAGTAAAGATAAGATTTAATCCTTTTCTACTCTATAAAAAGCACTTTTCTACCATGAAAATGTGATAACATAACACGATCTTTACTGATTAGTGGTACTTTTTTTTAATCATGATTAACTTTTATATTAACTAGTGAAATTCGTTTTTACTGTAATACTGTGTTCAATAGGTTACATTTTTTTCAACCTTAGTAGAGTCAAAGGACTTCATGAAAATGATTAGACTTTACGGTTCATAGGATGACATGAGTTTACTGCTAATTAAAATGATGCGTCCATATTCCAGGCTAATAGAAAAGTTAAGTTTGACCATTATCGTACTGACTCAGCTGAAGGTCCTAACCGACCTAATGGTATCTTGACTCTTGTATTCCAATTCAGCAGAATCTTCGAAGTTTTATGGCCACAGCAACATATATTTGGTCTACCACACCATGAAAGAATCGAAAATAAGAGTGCCCTATACTTTGTTCAGGAGCGGAAAATCACAAACAACCCAAAACCCCACAGCGAAGCCAACTCCCATTCCAAGATGCGGTGACTTCAAAAACACATCAACCTCATTTCCTTCAATCTGTCCCATATTGTTTGTTTTTTCTGGTATGGGGCAGTTCTTTTGAAGAGGAGGTCACAAAGCCAGGACCGCATCTGATATTTGAGGAAGCCGTTCTTTAAATTTATTCGATGATGTAAATATATTTAAACCTATTGGAAATAAGTTCGCTATGTCCCCATTAATTGAGCTGGGAGACTTATTGTCGCCAAGGACCTTTGGGAGTGCACCACTCAAGTCATTGAAACTAATATCTAAATATCCTAAAGTTGATGCATTAAGGAGATCAGATGGAATGGTGTCGTGCAACAAGTTATTAGATACATCAAGGTAAGCTAATATATCAAGCTGGCCAAGCCAATCAGGTATTGATCCTCTGAGTCTACTGGTAGATAGATCTAGGTACATTAGATTCCGATAGCCTGAAAAATCTGGCATTCGACCTCTCAAATTGCATTGTCTGAGAAAAAGATCAGAGAGATGATCTTTGCTAACATTGAACAACCAATTAGCTAATCCATTTGTAAAATCCTTTAGACCAAGATCAAGATATGAAAGTGAGCTAAAATTGGCATATCGGCGAGACAGAATAGAGCTGGTCAAATTACAATCATGCAAATCTAATGTCTCCAAAGGTGGCAAAGCCAATGATTGGACCCAAACGATTTCACTAGGAAGACGAATGTCACCAGAATTGGGAGTTGTCAGGGAAGGAAGTCGAGAGAGCCAATAATGAAAGATTATCAATTTGAAGATGAATACTGTTTGATAAACTCAGTGCAGAAAGCTTAGAAGAATTTGGTAGCAAATTAGGATGAGTTGCAACAGGATTTTTGATAGACGTCATGCTTGTGCGTTCAAAGTCATTGAGGGACAAATCCAACACTCGTAGAAATTGAAGTGCAAGTAAAGAAGATAAGTTGATTTCACCTCTCAAGGATTCTGAACCATTTCAATTCAAATTTGCTAGGTTAAGATATATGACTCTGCTGGTGTTACGATCACACTCAACCCCATGCCATTGACAGCAATCTGGCAGATTAGACCAAGAAGAGAGGCGGGTGGAAGGATCAACAATGCCTTGTTTGGAGATTAATAGTCTTCGATCCCTTTCAGGCAACAAGTAACTGTTGAATTGCGCTGCACATAGCAACACCTACACTATAAGAGCGATTTGTGATGTGAAAGGAAGCATCATTATGAAAAGGTTTTTCTTCAAGTGAAGGCTTGCTATGCATATTTCTAGCAATTTTTATATAAGGACTGCGTATTAAGTTATATATATATATATGTATTTGTATAGCTTGCTCTTTCTCAAGCTTCCGTCCTTTTCTCCTGTCTTTTGTTCTTGTGTTTTTTTTTTTTTTTTTTTTTGGCCTCACAAAATGCTTCCCACTTTTTTACCAAGTCTTCCGTCCTTCTTTCCCAGGTCTCTGCCCCAAATCACAGTCTATCACTTTATGCAAAGATTGTAAAGTCTTCGTCTTCAATTCCTCTGGATTAATGGAACTCACAGAGGAGAGCGTCCCTTCTTATCTGCTTCTACAAAATTGCATCAACAAATTTCAGTCCTTTTCCAAGCAACTTCACTACTGCTTCAACTTCTATGTATAAATCATTTCTAACCATCCTATATATTCAAAGTAAGAAGAGATATTTAAATCATCGCAAAGTGAATTTTTGCTGCTTTAACTTTAATTAGGCAAGAATTTTTCATCATATAAAATATAGTTTCAGTCTTTTAACCTTAATACTATTAGTTTTGTTAACAAAAACTGGCAACATTAAAATTTTAGACGCTAACAGAATATTCACAAATGCTGATTATTAAATTTAATTTCTTAAAATTACGATAATTTGCGCCAAAAATTATCATTATTTAATACTAATTGTAATAGGGCCAGAGAACTAAACAAATAATTTTATAAAATTAAGAAATCAAAATGCACGACATCTTATATAAAATTAAAAGATTAAAAGCATATTTTTGCTTTGAATAATTAACTTTGTTGCAAATGAAAAATTTTCCAAATCAATCCTTATTACAAAACATGAATTGAAAAGATAATAAATGCCCAAACGAGTCATTATACACAATCATCTCCCTTATTTATTTATTTTTCCCAATTCTTCTTTGCTTGTATGAAACGTGGAGTAGTCATCAATATTACAAATATTTATCTTTGAAATAAATACCTATCTCGCAGTTTGTTTCTCACTTGTTCACATGTTCTCTGTTTGTTCTGTGTCTTCCCTGTTGAGCTATATTCCCCAACGTGCGTTTTAATATATATATATATATATATATATGTATGTACACACACACTCTTTAGTACTTCAATATAGTTGATCGTTTACATTAAAAAAGAAAAAGAAAAAGAATGTAAATTCTGAAATATAGACTTTGAAGTCTAAATCGTTGGGGGAAGAAGAGTATGAAATCTGAGTCCAAATACAAAAACTAGTATTTCTGAGAAGCAAGGAATTTGGTGGGAATCATGCATCTTCTTTAATGTCTTGATCCGGAGGCCCATTTAAAATGTTTCAAAAATGTGTCAGGCTTTAAACAAAATTAATATTGATGGGACGACATATTTATCTTCTATAATTCTTTCATTAGCAATCACAACTTTATTGTATTTTAGATATTCCTCAAATTAAAGTCATATATCAACTATAATTTCCACTCTTACGAATGTTTACAAATAATCTTTTGGCTGGGGCTTCCTTCAATTGACTCGTTTAGTTAGTGATTTTTTTTTTTGGTATTACGTGCAGTTAGTGATATTGTCAAGTTTATTGTCAAATAATCTATATATGAAATATTTGCACTGTGGGTTGAATCCTAAACGGTTTATGACCTCTGGATGTTAGGATCTATTTAAATACTGCAAATAGAAGCTTATGAATTATGTTTTTAGGAAAAAGTTTATCTGTGAGTTGAGCCTAACAGTTGGCTGATGATATTCTGGATAATTAGATTGATCATTTTGGATATTTTAAAATAAGTATGATTGATTATGAATGAACAGGTATGTCATATGTTTGAAATAACTAATTATAGGTTTATGGATAAATTGTGATGTTGTGGATGTCAAAGTGCCTCAACCCACTTGTTAGCTTGTAAGGTTTTGCCTAATGCTTTTAGTAAAGATAAGATTTAATCCTTTTCTACTCTACAAAAGGCACTTTTGTACTATGAAAATGTGATATCGAGTCTTGTATATCTATACCTTGAACTTTTTATAACCATAAAACGATCTTTATTGATTGGCTGTCCTTTTTTTTTAAATATCATGATTAACTTTTATATTAACCAGTGAAATTCTTTTTTACTGTAATACAGTGCCTAATAGTTCACATTCTTTTCTACCATAGTAGAATTAAAATGATTAGACTATATGGTTCATAGAATGGCATGAGTTCACCGCTGACTCAATTATAGCTAGATGATAAACATGTCAGATACAATTGCAATAAACCTATAATAATGTAACCTTTTCTCAGCATTGAGACACAATTAGCATATCATACTGGGAACAAGAACTTTGAATTTAAATAAAGAAAAAAATTACTTCATCACTAACTTGAACTATAACTTATTTCCATTTAGTGGGATCATTGAAGCTTTGTGGCCACAGCAACATAGATTTGGTATACCACGCCATTAGAGAAACGAAAATAAGTGCGTCTCCATATGCTCTCTTCAGGAATAAAAACCACAGACTATCCAGAATCCCACAGCAAAGTCACTTCCCAGACCGAGATACAATGATTTCAAAAAAGCATCATCCTCATTTTCTTCAACATGCTTTGTATTGTCTGCCTTTTCTTCTGTTGTGCAGTTCTTTTGAAGAGGAGGTCCACAAAGCTTTTGATTTCCTATGTAGCTCCATGCATCAAAATTTTGAAGTTGAGTCCTCAGTGGAAATTGTCCCATAAATTTGTTATATGACAAATTCAAAACACCTAGAAACAAACTAGATGCTTTGAGGAATATTCCCATGAAGACTATTATGGGAGAAATCAAGATATTCTAGGTCTTTCATCTCTCCTATTTCCTTTGTATTTCTCTTGTCAAATCATTATACGACAAGTTCAATGATTGATTGTATCAGTTTGAGCCTGAACAACTGCTTAGGAATTCTCCCAAATAGTTTGTTTGCTGAAAGGTCAATACTCTGCATAAAGAATTGGCTTGTCTAGTATTCTAATTCTTGACCCTTTGTATGCAAATTACTTCTGGGTTTAAATGGGATTGCAAAGCCATCTGATAATGGTAGACCGGCAGGCATCCTTTGAGTGATGAACGGATCATTCAAAGATCCTAAAACCATGCTGGTTAAATTGTGAAGGTAATAAGGTATTGATCCTGAAAGCTTGTTATGTGCAAGATCCAAAACAATCAACATAGAGAGGCTACATAGCTGTGAAGGAATGTTGCCTGTAGATTGATTAGATCTCAATTTCACTATTGATACATTTTGCGGCATCCATTTTGGTATGCTCCCAGAAAAATTGTTTCCTTCCAGATTGATGAGTAGTCAAGATGTGAAGTTCTGGAAAGTCAATGGCATATCTCCATGAAAGCCATTATGATGTAAACCTGGTAACTTAACCTCATTCAATAAACCTACTGTTGGAAGAACTTCACCACTTAGCTTATTATACACTAAGTATATGCAAGATAGATATGGCAAATTGCCCCAACAATCTGGAAGTTCTCCAGTCAAAAAATTATTTGATATATCCAAATACCACAACATATATTTCTCAACCTAAATGTGACACAACAGAGACGATAAAGATCCAGTGAAAAGTTTGTGAGCCAAATAAAAACCAGAGACATTTGCTGATATATATGAGGAAGGTTGCCTTCTAATTTATTAAATGACATAAATATGAATGCATTGGTTGGCAACAAGTCTGAGATATCTCCACTAAGTTGTGAGACAAATCCAAAACCAAAGAGGGCTTCACAAGGCTTTTTAGAAGTGTACCACTCAAGTGATTGAGGCTAAGATCTAAAGCTGATAAAGCTGGTGAGTTTCCAAGACTTGAAGGAATGCTGTTACTGAGTGAGTTATTAGATAGAATTATATTTTTTTAAGTATTTATGTTGACCTAACCAATCATGCATTGATCCTTCGAGTTCTTGTCAGATAGATTTATGGTATGCAGGTTTTGATAGCCTTAAAAATCTGGAATCGGACCTCTTAAATTGCAGTGGTCGACATAAATATAGGACTAGTCTTTACTAAGACTGAACAGCCAAGTAGTCCATATTAGACTAAGATAAATACCGGAAAGTGAGCTGAAATTGACATCATTCTTAACAGAAGGAACACGGAAGCTGGTCAAATGACAGTCAACTAGAACTAATTCCTCAAGAGATAGAGAAGCCAATAATTGAATGACTGTCAAATGACAGTCTCCATAAGAAGACGAACACCACAGAGGTTGAGAACTGTCAGGGAAGGAAGTCGAGAAAGCCAATGAAGATCATCAATTTGAAGATGAAGATGGTAAGAAAAAGACAAGGTAGAAAGCTTGGAAATATTTGCAACAGGGAAAGTACTATTGATGGGTGGCGTGCTTATGCGTTCAAAGTCATTGTAGTCCAAATACAAGGAATCCAGAAATTCAAGTTGAAGCAATGAAGATAAGTTGATTTCACCTCTCAAGGATTTTGGACTCTTTTGATTTGGACTTTGCAAAAGAAGGGATATGACTGTGTCGTTGTAATCACACGAAACTCTTTCCCATGCACAACAATCTTCAGTAGACCAAGAAGAGAGGCGGTTTGAAGAATCAACAATGCCTTGTTTGAAGGTTAACAGCAAGCTTCAATCCCTTTCATGGCAGCAAATGATTCTGTTGAATGTCACTGCAAATAGCAACATCAACAAAACGAGAGAAGTTAGTGATCTGAAACTAGTTTCCATGGTCTTAAATCAAGTTTTTCCAAAAGGTTTTGATCGGTAAGTGAAGGCTTTTGTTATTTCTCCAGCGTAGTTCATAGTACTATCTACAAGTGAAGTCATTCCTTGACTATTTATGTCTAGATTACATTATATAAGGTTTTATGACCGAGTCCAAGTCTTCTGCTGTTTCAATGGCAGTTATGTTTCATAAATAATGCATTAATTACCGTCACCTATAGAGAAAGTAACACTTTGGTTTCCAACAAGGATATTGGTGACACTTTGATCTCTTCAATTTTGAAAATTGTGATGTCACACAAATACTTGGTTCCTAGTTGCTGGAAAAGACCGAATTTCCATAATTCCATGACAGTGAATTATACTCCTCTGGTTCTATGCATAAGTCACATTTAACATGTTTCGTATAGACCAAGAAAAATTTTAAACTTCATTAACTCTTATTTAAAATTTAACAATTTTTCAATTTTATCACTATTCTATATAGATTATACATCATGTAAACAAAGTTAATAGAATAATAAATAATAAATTTAAACCATGGCAAAGTTTTTGTGTTTTTTAACTTTACACAAGTTTTCATTTTGATGATTTAGTTTTATAAAATATTTTTTTTAATCTTTTAACTCTGACACTGGACTAGTTTTATTAACAAAAAATGCCAACATTAAAATTTTCATAATTGACAAAACATTCACAGATGCGGATATATCAAATTTGATTTCTTAAAAATACAATGATTGGCATAAAAATGATCATTATTTAAGATTAACTGTGTGAGGGTCAAGAACTGGGAAAAATATTTTATAAAATTAAGAAACAAAAATAAAATCTTATATAAAGCTAAAAAATCAATCTGCATTTTTGCCTTGAATCATTAGCTATGTTGTGAATGAAAATTTTTCAAATCAATCCTTATTTAAAAACATGAATTGAAAAGATAATAAATACTCTCTTATGCCTTACAAAAAATGATCATCCATGTCAAGTCCTTCTCAACTTTCTCCCCTCCGTGAAATAAATGTCCAACAGAGTCATTATACATAATCATCAAGTTTTACGACCTTTTCTTTCTTTCTTTCTTTCTTTCTTTGCCATTTCTTCTTTGCTTTTATGAACCGTGAAGTAGTCATCAATGTTACAAATATTTATCTTCGAAATAAATAGTCTTATCTCACTGTTTGTTTTTTACTTGTTCACATGTTCTCTGTTCTGTGTCTTCCCCTGTTTGAGCTATATTCCCCAACGTGCGTGTTGTTGTGTGTGTGTGTACTTTTTAGTACTTCAACATAGTTGATCGTTTTCATAAAAAAAAGAAAAAGAATGTAAATTCTAAAATGTAGACTTTGGGTATGTCTAGATTGGCAGTAGACAAAATTGATTTCTAGTCTAACTGACTTTTGTAACTGAAATTAGAGTAAAAGTCAATTAGTATAATGCGATTTATGTTTGAATAGGTGTTTATGAAAAGTTAGTCGAAAAAGTTAAAAGTTGTTTGGATGATTAAATAGAAAAGTCAGTTCATTTGTAAAATGATTGAAAATGGTATGGATTTTATTGAATAGTAGTGTTTGATATTTTATATTTTTAATGTGATAATACTTAAAAAAACCTAAAATTATTATGATAAAATAAAAATATTTATTTGTGAGATTATAAAATAAAAATATTTGTCACCAAGAAAAATGTGAAAAAACATTGTAGATAATTATTTAAATATATATAATAAACAAATATGAATATAAATTAAAATTCATTTGGTCTGAATCAAAACTCATTATACTAATAAAGGAGATGAGACAGAGGAAAAAATGTGAGGGTAAATCGGGGCTGGTATATTTTTAATGTTCATTTTTAATGATCCCCGTTTGAAACTGCAGTTTGAAATAAAAAAAGTCAGATTTTTCTCTATTGAGTCTAATTGAGATTGAAGGTCAGAAGTTGGTTGGGTTTTTAGTCCATTCAAACAACCATTTGGTCCTAAATATTTGTATGTTCTGTGTCTTCCCCTGTTTGAGCTCTATTCCCCCAACGTGCGTTTTAATGTGTATATATATATTTTTAGTAGTATAGTTGATCGTTTTCATAAAAAAAAAAAAAGAATGTAAATTCCGAAATATAGCCTTTGAAGTCGTCGGGGGAAGAAAACTCTGAAGTCTGAATCCAAACACTAAAACTTGTATTTCTGAGAAGCAAGGAATTTGGTGGGAATCATGTATCTTCTATAATTTCTTGATCCGAAGGCCCATTTAAAATATTTGAAGAATGTGTCAGTCTTTAAGCACTATTAATATTGCCGGGACGATATATTTATCTTCTATAATTCTTTCATTAGTAATCACAACTTCCTTGTATTTTAGATATTCCTCAAATTAAAGTCATATATCAACTATAATTTCCACCCTTACGAAAGTTTACAAATAATCTTTTGTCTGGGGCTTCCTTCAATTAACTCGTTTAGTTAGTGATTTTTTTTTTTTTTGGGTATTACCTGTCAAATAATCTATGCATGAAATATTTGTACTGTGGGTTGAATCCTAAACGGTTTATGACCTTTGGATGTTAGATTGGATCTGTTTGAATACCGCAAATAGAAGCTTATGAATTATATTTTTAGAAAAAAATTTATGTGAGTTGAGCCCAACAGTTGGCTGGTGATATCTTGGATAATTAGGTTGATCATTTTGGATATTTTAAAATGAGTATGATTCATTATGAATGAACATGAATGTTATATGTCTGAAATAATTATAGGTTTATGGATAAATTGTGATGTTTTGGGTTTCAAAGTGCCTCAACCCACTTGTTAGCTTGTAAGGTTTTGCTTAATGCTTTTAGTAAAGATAAGATTTTATCCTTTTCTACTAGTTAACATTATCCTCATTCCTCAGTTTTTCCTGACATCATTTGCTGCAAAATATGTGTATTTTTTTACATGAGTCTCCATTAATTCTCAGAACTTCAGGGGAAGTCATTATGTTTTACTGGTATCTCGGATCTATTGGTAGGTCAACGGTTGTGCATTCAAATATGTTTGCACCAAAAGAGCAATCAGATATCAATTCGGGCAAGAATAGGCAAACACCCGAGGAATATAATGGGAACGCCAGAGACAGAGAAATTTCTGTTACAAGGTCAATGCAGGGGCAGCTAAGAGCCCCAGTAGGTATGGAATTGCTATTGTTGTGTTCAGTTAATGTTTTACATTTATGAATAACTGAATTGCTGACATTGTCTTACTCCTCAGCAAAACCCGGAAAAGTAGCTGGGCTAGTTGTTCCTTACGAGTAGGCGAGTGTGGTCAAGGACTCTTATGGTCCAAGTACATTTATCAGAGGTCCCATGCTTCCTTCTCAAGCTGTTCACATTGCTTATTGTTACCACAGATCGAGCTCTGGAAATCAAGAAAGGTCAGCTACAACAGAGTCTGATAAGGGTGTATCTGTGCAAGCCAAACATGCGCATTCTGAAGTTCGTGCCAAAATAGCTCCAGATATAGCTATTAATATTGATACAAACCCTTTTTTTATGACACAGGCAGGAGTGACCGGCATCGAACAGGATGATCGAATAGCTATGGACACGAATCTAATACCGACAAAGGCTCAATATGGTTGGATTGGTGCCACCACAACGGCAACTACTGCTCATAGAAAGGTTGGTCCTCTTCAGTGTGGCATGACTGGTATGTTTTAGGAGTTATCAAGTGGATATTTTGGCCAATGGGGGAGAAATCGTCAGAGAGAAAGGTCCTTTATGGGGGAAGGCACTTGGGTCTCTCGTAGGTTTTGTAAAATAAGGGTGAGCGAGGCCGTGAGGTAGCCATTCCCTTCGAAGAGCCTGCTTTCTCTGGTCAAGAGATGCTTTAGACTTTGGTAAGAAGCTGTATAATTGGAACTGACTCCTACTTATCGAGATCCTCTTTCATATCCCCCCTTTCCCTCTCTCCACTCAATTATGATTAATAAAATGGATGAATCGTATGTAAATTTCTTTAGTATTTGTTATGAAGTTCCCTAAAGAGTGTTGCGGGAAAATTTAATCTATGTTTTTTCCTTGGAGTTTTATGTATTTTACTAAGAACTATGTTTGACTCTTTAAAATTAGTTTATTAGGAAGAAAGATAGATAACTGAAATGTGAAATTTTCAAAATAGTTCTGTGGCATAATTTTTAATTTTTTCCCCAAGGGACTTCTTAGACATTAGATTTTATTGCCAGATGACGATATTATCTGTCGAGGCCCCCCAAAAACACAAAAAGAAAAACCTCCATTAATTGCTAGCTGCCACTGGTGGCGACGTTTCAGCGGTCAGAATCTGGCATCGGCCAACGTCAGTGATTGTAAATTATTGAGAAGGGGGTGACATTAAAGGGAAGCAGTTATTGATCTCAAGAATCCTTTTTTTTTTATTTGGAAAAACATTGTGGTCGATATGTCATTTTATAACAAAAATTAATGTCGGTGTTGGTGTTTATGGACTTGGGATTGGGAATTATGTAGGAGTATTTGGAGATTTCCGGGGTACAATAAGCTTATATTGTGGGCAATTAGTGTAATTGTACTTTAGGAATGAAATTGAGTGACTGACTGACTCATTATTGTACATTTGCTCTTCTCCAACGCTTAATCGTCATGGTGTCAACAAAATAATTGAAAATTATTACTCCTCTGATCCTTAATATAAGATCCATTTAACTAATTTGATTAGATTAAGGAAGTTAGGTAAATTGATTAATTATAAGAAAATTGACATATTTTTCCTAAAACACCATAGTGATTTTTCTTAATACCCCATCTCCCTCTTCTACTTGATTATGGTTGAGGGGTATCCATAGGGGTAATTTAGAGAAAATTGATAAATATGATAAATGGGTCTTATATTTAGGACCAAAACCAACTCAATAATTAGATCTTATATTAAGGACAGGAGGAGTATTATTTTTATTTATGTCCAATTTTCTTTGGAGATCAAATGAACTTCAAAAATAGGAAACTTTTTTATTTTTTCCTAAACCAAAAGTAGTGTGGTTGCGTGTTACGGTATCAGTGCATCAACGATGCTTCAAAAAGGCGACGTTCTGTGACTTTCGTCTCTGGGTTCGGTCTCATCACTCTTGAAATGGCCAACATGGATGTCTCCTCAAGAAATGTCATGGGAATTTTTTTAAAATTTCTTTTGGCATATTTATAAGAAATTTTTTGCAAAAGCATATTATTATATAAGTTTAGTATTGTGAAAACCTATTAAAATATTATTACTAAATCTGATTTAAAATTTAATCATTCCGAACTTCTTTTCATAAAATTTTCCTTCAAACAAATGATGTGTAGAGGGAGGATTTGGTATATTTAAGTGTACAAGCTAGTAATAAAATAAAATATTTAAGTGAGGAAAAAGATTAAATATTTCTCCATTTATTTGACTCAGATTATTTTTATTGGGCTGAATAAAATATTGCTTTAACTACTTAATAGTTGATAAAAGGGAGAAAGACCCAAAACAAAAAAAACTCTAAAAATATATAAATTTTAATTTAGGATCCTGAAATGATGACCTGACTACTTTGAAGTGTTTCAGAGTTTATTTGAGATTACAGAAAGCAAGATGACATATGCGCCTTTCATTTGAAATCCTTGAATTTCATAACAAATAACAATTTTTGTATAACCAATGACAAGAACAATATAGCTAATGACAAGTTCTATATGCTTTTGCAATGACAAGATTAAGTAGCAAATTGCTCAAGGATGACAGGAACATCTTAGGGAATAAACTTTTTGCATAACAAATGACAATGATAATGATAAATTTTTAATTTTGCTCTATTAACAATGTTAACCTCTGCATAGAGACTAAAAATATTAATAGAACAAAGTCATAAAAGCTTATGTTGCTAAAAAAGAAAAATTAAATAATTTAATTAAGAGGAAAAAAAACAAATAGATACCAAATTAAAAATTGAGAGAAAGCATAGGTAGGTTCAATATGGTTTTCCTTAAAAATAATTAAAAACATTAAATTTGTTATAAAATTCAAGTCACCTTATTACCTAGAGGGAGTATTAAGAACTTCAGAGCAATTTGTCCATCTTAAGATGTAAATGGAGATTTGCATATTGTTAGGGTATTTTCCAGTCATTCTCGCTTGAGAAAATGAGATTAAGTGGCCTCAAAAGGAGATGAAAATTGGAATACATTGAAGGTCAAGGACCTCAATCTTAGGTAGACGAGTTGTAAATCCTTAAAAATGAATTGTGAATTGCTAAATATAAGTTGCAAATTACAGGATATCAGTTATAAATTTTAAAAAAGAGATGTTCATGATTTCTATGAAGTTGGAGTCTTGAGTTCCTAAAAATCATCAAATGTCAATTGTAAATTGTGAAGATTAGCGGCACGAAGAAATAATTAACCAACAGTTATATATGATGATTAAACGAATTGGGCCGCGATAGATGTCTGAAAATCTTGGACGAGTCTAGACTCTCCATGATCGATTGGCCTAGTTTATTAGGACAGAATAATGTAACTTTTATAGATAACGATTCTATTATCATGCATGAACGAGAGACATGTAATTTAAAGATTTTGGAGTCTTTTGTGAATTGTGATTACGGAGATGTGATCATATGACTAAGGAGATCGACTTCTGAATTTAGCGTCTTGCAATGCATCCGAGACTCGACTCTTGGGACTATGAGAAATGGGGAGTTTCATAATTTGCTGAATTCTGGGAAAATCTTGTCCGTCCTTGATTTTCTCGGAGATTGAAGCATTTATCAGTGACTCATTCTTTTCGACTTTGAACACCGACGCTGTCCTCCGGTTTTATTAGTTTCTCGTAAGAAATACTTCATCGTTGTTGTTTGGATGGTGCGATGTGTGATTCTTCTTACTCTCACCTTTATGTAAATCTCTTTCGTGCCCCCCATAACCCCCCCTCCAAAAAAAAAGATTTGGCAAATTAACCAAGTAGCATTGTCGTTTTACTATTTTTAGTATCTTAGCCGATTTATCGCTCAGGTTGCCGTTCCTTGTTCTTCCAGAACTAACAGTGGCGGACGATACGGTTGATGATCAAACCGGCGGGGAATTTTCTGATCCTGACGTACGCCAGAGCGACGGTCACGTCGAGGAATTGATGAAAAGGATCGATGCACTGGAATGTGAGAGAGGTGGATTGGCGAATGAAATTGCAGGTAGGAAGATCGAAATCGATAAACTGACGCAGGAGATTGACGGCTTGAGAGAAGATGAATCGAAGATGCGAGAGAAGATTGAAGGTTTGGAGAGAGCGTTCGAACGGTCTGAGGTGGCCAAGAAGCCAGCGGAAGCTATGGCGGCGAGAAGGGCCGACCTCGAGGCCGAGGTTTTCAGGCTTAACCGTGATTAAATATCTGTAAAGAGTGCTGCTGAGGGATCTAGAACAGAGTGCGCTAAATTGAGGAGCGTTTTGGAAGAGAGAGAATCAATGGTGTTGGATTTAGAACGTGAAGTAGAAGGGTTAAAGAAAGCAAAATTAGAAATCGACAAGAAGGCGAAGGACTTAGAGAGGAAAATTGGGGTTCTTGAGATGAAGGAAACTGAGGAAAAGGCAAGAAAATTAGGGTGTTGGAGGAGTTGAGAGAGGAAATTGGGGAGAAAGAGAAGGAAATTTGTGGTTTTAGACACAGGCTTGAGGAGTTGCAAAGGGTTGTCCCAGAGAAGGGATCTATATTGGAAGAAAAGCTAAATCTGGGGGAGGCACTGAGAGAATCAGAGGAGAAAACAAGAAGCATGGAATCAAATATTTTGAAACTGCAGAAGAAAGTTAAGGAAGCAAAAAACATTGTCAAATCTTTCACGGAGAAAGCTAATGAGGCAGTCAATGAAGCTGTGAATGAAATGGATAATGAAGCAAAGGCAAAGGGGTTGAATGGGTTGAAGCCGCAGTGGCCTGTGGTTGCAGCATCTACTGGAGCTATTGCTGCAGCAGCTGTTGTTATCTTTGTCTGCTATGGAAAACGTACGTGATTTCCCTGAGCAGAGGAATAGAGGAAGGAGGAACTAGGAATTGGATGACCAAGGTCAGCCCAAGTAAGGATTTTCCATTTCTAGTAAGAAGAATACTTCAATTTTGTTATTCATAAATCTAATGCTTTCACTCAACAGGGGAAAATGAACTAATGCTTTCTGGTTTTGATTTTTTTCCTTGAGCTAATAAAATTTTGATTCATGTCTGCATGTTAGTTGGTGGTTGAGAGAACTAAAACCATTTGCGTACAGGAAGAATGCCCTGCCTTGACTTACAGCAAGCAGTAGGTTTTCGTCCTGCTGAAGAAGAGCACGATGATGTGCTTTCTAATCCGTAGGTTTGCTTCAGTAATAATGGCGGTCATACGACCATTTGAGATTAAATTAAACTAGTAATTATATGCCTTATCTAGTGTAGCCAAATATTGAGCTTGGTTGGAAGCATAATGAAGGTGTAAGTAATCTATGCTTGCATCACCTCTTTATCAGTTTCTTCAGTTTTTAAAGTCATCTTCTATTAGTATAGTTTTTCCATTAAATAATTTTTTTTTTAAATTTGGCTTTTGGTGCTGGTGTTTGAGGCCTTATTGAGCACAAAAAGGGGCACTTCTCCTAATATAGGAGATTCGAACCTTGGTGGACTAGTCCCTTCCACTAAGAATATTATGTTTTGATAAAAAATGCTTGTAGTTATTGATAGACTGGTAAAAAAATTCTTCTTTTTTTTGGGTTCATTCCATGCTATCAAAATATTGTTTTTTTTTCTTGTATAAAAAACATTGTTATTCACACTGCCAAATTTATTAACAAAATGGATGATCTGGTCTGTGATATGAATTTTGGGCGTATAGTATAAGGGCAAGATGATCATTTTCCTTTGAATGGCTTTTCTTGTTCTATAGCCCTAAAAAAGTTCCAACCCCAAAATATTCTCAAGATGCATGATTGCATCCTCAGTGGACCTCTTCAAGGAATTCAATGTGTGCTAACTTTGTGCAATACCATGAAATATATTCTCTTGATGCTAAATATAAAATTAACTAGTTTGCATGAATTAAAAAATTAATTCAATTAATTATTTGTAAAAAAATGTGTTGATTTTTTTAAAACACTTATCCTGTTACATATTTATATTAGAGTGTAATCAACATAGCTATAGCGATATTTTGACAAAAAATATAGTAAATACGTGAGATAAAAAAAATTAACATCTTGTGTTTATAATTAAAACAATATTCTTAATTTAGATTGGACAAGGTAGAAAGATATTATATCAGAACTAGTTTATTTCGGCACTTGAAATCTCCTCGCAAGATTGCCATGCTCTATGTGAAGACTAGATGTTCATTATATCTTGCCAGGCTTTTCCAATTTGTCAAGCTGGGATCCCAACCAAATGGGTCTAGGGAATATATCGCAAGCCAACTTTGTGCAATATGTTTGACATGATGCATAATTGAGGTTAATTTAGAACTAGCAATTAACCTTAATTTTAAAGGCTCATTATATGTCACATTCTACGAATCATGAACATCATAACAAGAATAGCATACTTCAAATCAAAATTATATCTGAACTCATATTTTTCACTAAAAAATAGCACAATTGAGATATTGACTAGGAACATGAAACCACATCGTAGAAAAATCCGACATACCAAATTTGTGTAAATTACCAAATCAAGCAGCAAGTACAGAGACAGACACACATATTACTGAAAATCACCAAACTTGGACAGCCCCAAACTTTTGAATACTTATTGAAGTTGCGGCCATTTATCAAAGCTTCATCTAAAATTCCATTGATCACAGGGCTTAAGCGCCGAATCTTCTGGGACTCATGCGAGTCTTGAAAATCTGGAATCAACCGCCTATTGCTTAGAATAACAAGCATGAATAATATGAGTTCACTCTGCCACAATCAGAACTGAAAAAGATCTTTTGAGTGTGAGTTTTTTTTTAAAATGACAATTAACTTGTAAAGAGAAAATGAAAATCTAAACTTTTGGATCATAAATCTAAATGTTGTTTTGAAATATCAACAACTCTTAAAAAAAGTTAAAGTATATTTTTGGTCCTTTAACTTTACGTAAGATTTTAATTTTGTACTTTAACATTATAGATTATATTTTTAGTTTGTTAACCGTAAAACTTTTAACAAAGAAAAAAATGATGATATTGAGATCTTGAATGCTGAAATAACATTCTTAAATGTTAATATACGAAGTTTAATAACTATGATTGTTACAAAAAAAAATTATCATATAAGATTTTAGTGTTAAAAATATACTTTTTAAAGTTAAAGGATCAACTTAAAGTCTTGTATAAAGTTAAAGAACCAATTATATAATTTTGCCTTTGAAAAATGAGGAACATGATATATGGACACTTAAATATTTTAAAGATTGATTTGGGCATTTTAATTGTTTTAGAATAAAAGACTAACAACTTAATTTCTTTTAAACAGTTGAAATTAGTCGTTGCATTCATACATGGACGGAGCCTTAACTTGCATCATGCATTTGATTTAGGAAGCAACAAACAGAAAAATGAAATCATTACAACACTACTGATGAATTTGTGTGGAAATAAAAGTTATTACGAAAAATAGCTTTAGATTCGAATAGATAGAAGTATAACTTTATAACCAACCTGGAGTTGCAGCATATTCCCATTCAGCGGAATTTTTGAAGCTTTATGGCGACAATAACATAGATTCGATCAACCACACCATTAAAAAATCGAAAATAAGAGTGCCTCCATGCTCTGTTCAGGACTAGTGAACCACAAACTACCCAGAATCCTACAGCAAAGCCAACTCCCATTCCAAGATACAATGACTTCATAAAACCATCATCCTCATTTTCTTCAACTTTCTCTGTATTATCTGGTATTGTGCAGTGCTTTTGAAGAGGAGGCCCACAAAGATCAGGATTTCCGGCGTAACTCCATGCATCAAAACTCTGAAGCTGAGTGCCCAGCGGAATTTGGCCGCTGAAATGGTTGTACGACAGATTCAAAACATCGAGAAAAGATAGACCGGACATGCTCTGAGGAATATTCCCATGAAGATTGTTGTGGGACAAATCAAGAGATTCTAGATCTTTCATCTCTCCAATCTGCTCTGGTATCTCTCCTATCAAATAATTGTAGGACAAGTTCAGTGATTGTAACTCGGTGAGCTTGAACAACTGTACAGGAATTCCTCCTGATAGCTTATTAGCTGATAGGTCAATACTTCTCACCAACTTTAGAGTTTTCCCATACTCTAATTGTTGACCCTTTGTGTGCAAATCAATTTTCATGAAGTCTTTTGCAGTTGTAAAGAAATGATTTGATACTGGACCGGGTAAAACATTTGTAAATGAAGGCAAACTGGTCGCGTTGTGTAGACAGTGAGGGATTGATCCAGAAAATTCATTATTAGCAAGGTCCAATATCGTCAAGTTCAAGAGACAACATAGTTGTGGCGGAATGTTCCCCGTAAATTGATTGGATCTCAATTTTAGAATTGATATATCTTGGGGCATCCATGTTTGTATACCTCCAGAGAAGTTATTTCCTTCTAAATTGAGAAGCACCAAAGACATGCAATTATTGAAAGTCGAAGGTATATCACCAAAAAATCTATTATTACGTAGATCTAGCGCCTCTAAGCGAGGTAATGATGAACCCATCATGGGTGGAACTCGACCGGTCAACTGATTATTCCCCAAGTATAAGTCAGACAAGTTCCCCAATTTGTTCCAACAATCTGGAAGTTTTTGAGTGAGATAATTATTTGATAGGTCCAAATACAGTAAATAGTTGTGACACAATAAAGTATCTAAAGGTCCCGAGAAATAGTTGTGAGATAAATCCAAAACTCCGACCAAATTTGATACTCGAGGAAGCCTTCCTTTAAATTTATTAGATGACATAAATATTTTCAAATCTGTCTGCCCTGCTCTAATTGAGGCGGCAGACTCATTTTGGCCAAGAATGTTTGGGAGCGGACCACTCAAGTGGTTGAAGCTAATATCTAAATAGTCTAATAAAGCTGATGCGTTTAGGAGATTAGAAGGAATGGAACTGTGAAACAAGTTATTAGATAGATCAAGGATAGTTAGGCTATCAAGCTGGCCAAGCCACTCAGGTATTGACCCCTTGAGTTTGTTGTTAGATAGATCTAAGTGCCACAGATTTCGATAGCCTGAAAGATCTGGAATTTGACCTCTCAAATTGCATTGACTGAGATTAAAAAAGCTGAGATGATCTTTGCTAAGATTGAACAACCAATTAGGTAATCCAAATGTAAAATCATTCAGACTAAGATCAAGAAATGAAAGTGATGAGCTAAAATTGGCAGGCTGGAAAGACAGAATAGAGGTGGTCAAATTACAATCACCCAAAAATAAATCCTCCAGAGGCAGCGAGGCCAATGATTGAACCCAATTGGTTTCACTAGGAAGATGAATGCCACTGAGGTCGAGAGATGTCAGGGACGGAAGCCGAGAGAGCCAATAATGAAGATTATCAGTGTGGAGATGAATATTGTATGATAAACTCAGATAAGAAAGCTTAGAAGAATTGGGTAGCAAATGGGTATGAGTTGCAACAGAATTATTGATAGGCGCCATGCTTATGCGTTCAAAGTCATTGCCGTCCAAATGCAGCAATTCGAGAGATTCAATAGCAAGTAAAGAAGATAAGTTGATTTCACCTCTCAGTAATTCTGAATCCCCGTCGCCCAACAGAAAAAGGTTAACGACTCTGTTGTTGGTATCACACTCAACTCCATCCCATTGGCAGCAATCTGGGAGAGTGGACCAAGAAGAGAGGCGGTTGGAGGGATCAACAACGCCTTGTTTGAAGCTTAAAAGTGAACGTCGGTCCCTCTCATGGCAGCAACTGATTGTGTTGAATCTCACTGCACATAGCAACGCCAACAGAATCAGAGACATTTGTGACGTCCGACGAAGAATCATCATGAAACTGTTTCTTGAAGTGGTGAAGCAGGGACCTAAACGGTTCCTTGAAATATTTATATAAGCACCTGTGGATTTTTTTTTTAATTTTAATTTTTTTTAAATTTACATGAAGTTTCATTTTAGTACTTTAAATTTAAAAAACATATTTTCAGTTATTTAGTTCTAAAACCATTAACAAAAAATAATAATATTGGGATTTTAAATATTAATAAGAAATTCTAAAATTTAATATAATTTTCAAAACAATCATACTTATTACAAAAGATTATCATTTAAAACTAACGATTATTAGATGACTAAAACTATACTTTTTAAATTTAATTAAAGGACTAAACTAAAATTATGTATATAGTTAAAGCATTAGACATATTCTTTAGCCATTAATTTTTTTATAGAAAATTTTACATTAAATTGTTTTTTTCCTAATTAAAAATAAATTGCGTGATTTTTTTCCCTTCAGTTATTAAGACAAATTTCTCTTTATTCTCAAAATCTATAAAACTATGCCAAACAAAAAACATAAAATACAAGAACTTGTTCTAAATGTTTTTGAAGATTTAGTTCTTCCCATTTTCATGATAAGTTGATTTTGAAGGTGGATGGGAGGTTTGCATGATTTAAAACAAAAAAATATTGAAGGAGAATGATAAAATTAAATCTTTTTTCTTTTTTTTGGGAGTAAGGCTGATAAAAGCACTTAAAAATAGAATGAAAGTTATAAAATTTTTGCAAAATTTAAAAGAATTTACATTAATGCTCAAAAATAGAAGGAAAAACTCTACAATTTTCTCAAAAATATTTGTATAGCTTACTCCTTTAATTTTTTTTAAAAGAGAATAGATGGAGATTGATATGAAGTTTTTTTTTATTTAAAAAAAAAAGAGAATAGAAGGAGATTGATATGAAGGTTTATAAAAGCACTTAAAAATAAAATGAATATTTGTATAATTTCAGCAAAATTTAAGAGACTTTACATTTAGTTCTCAAAAATAGAAGAAAAATATCCTTTTAATTTTCTCAAAATACAAAATATATGTCTAAAGGTTACTTTCTTGATTTTATTTTCTTGACCAATTCACAGAAGTTTTCCAATATTTTTTCCAAGTCTTCTCACCTTTTTTTTTTTCCCTCCCAGTCTTTACCTCAAATCCCGTTGCTTTTCAGTTATGACTTTTTTCTCAGGAAATTGCTATGAAATGGGTAAATAGTTAATACCCATCGAACACGAAACGCTACAAGTGATTCGCTATTCTTTGTGCAGTTAATAAAATATTTCTAAACGCTAAAATATTAAGTTTAATTTTTTAAAAATAATAATAATTGGCATACAAAATTATTATGTGAGACCTAAGATTTTATTAAATTAGGATTAGAAGGTTAAAGATATTTTATAAAATTAGGAGACCAAACTAAAATTTTATTTCAAGTCAGATGACTAAATATACTTTTTTTTTTTTACCAAAGATTAAATATACACTCTTATAATTTTTCATCACTAAAATCTTCCCTGCCGAGTGAACCTGAAAGTATTTCCCAGCATGTGTTTTAATGTGTGTCTGTTTGTGTGTGTGTGTGTGAGAGAGAGAGAGAGAGAGAGATACTTCAATAAAGTTGATCGATTTCATTAAAGAAAAAGAAATGTAAATTCTGAAATATATGATATGAATTCTAAATCGTTGGGGGGGAACAAGACTATGAAGTCTGAATGTAAATACTAAAATTTGTATTTATTTGAAAAGGAATACTAGGGGAATCATATACGTATCATGAAATTTGTAATGCTATTAACAAATTCGGTATAATAATTAACAATAAGTTGTCTAAAAATTTTAAAAAATAGCACTTTTGCGACTTTAATAACACGATTAACAAGTTCTATAATACTATTAGTACAAAATAATATATTAAATATGAAATTTGATTTTTTTAACTTAAATATTATCCTCTTACTTTTAGACGTTAAAATGTTTATTTTGAACGAATTTTAATTATTTAATTAAATTGAACCGTTTGGTTTTATTAAGAATATTTGTTCCCTTGGAATCCAAACCATTCTAAAATAGAAATCTTGTTCTTCTTAAATAAATAATTAATATCTATATTGTTTTTTTTTTGTGCTTTTTCCAAAATTATATTATATAAACTTAATTAGTCTTCATATATAATGACGTTCTCATATGTGTTTAACTTGCTTTTTGGCTGTGTTTAAGCTTTTTGAGGCCCTACTGATCGATCTTTATTATTTTATATAGCTTCATGAATTTTTTTAGAATCTTCAGCAGTTCCCATTGCTTTTGAATTACCTTTTCTCAAGAAATTGCTGTGAAATGAGTAATAATTGTATAATGCCCGTCCACCGCCTTTTTGAATTGCTCTGAATTACTCCTGATCAGTTCTCATTGCTTTTGAATTATTGGTTTTTATCTGCGTTAAGACTGAATTATACTAGCTTTGATATCTAATATAAGAATTAGTTTGACTTTCATTTGGATCCTAAATATAAGATTCAAATCCATTTTATCTCTTATATTTATCTATTTATTTCAAAACAGTCATTGTAATAGTCACATATATTAAAGGTTCTATCAAATCCTAGTTCTAGTAATTGGTATTCTAGGGAATTTAACTTATATTTATTATAAATAACTAACTTAACAAACCTTTTTAATTTACTCAAATTAGTTAACTAACTTTTATACTTCTCCGGTCCTTAATATAAGACCTATTTAACTAATTTGATTAGATTAAAAAAGTTAGGTAAGTTAGTTAATTATAAGAAAAAATAAATTGCATGATTTTTTCCCCTCAGTTATTAAAACATATTTCTCTTTATTCTCAAAATCTATAAAAATATTCCAAGCAAAACAAAACATAAAATACAAGGACTTGTTCTAAATGTTTTTGAAGATTTAGTTCTTTCCATTTTCATGACACGTTAATTTTGAAAGTGGATAGGAGGTTTGTATGATTTAAAAAGAAAAAAAAATTGAAGAAGACTGATATAGTTAAATCTCTCTCTCTCTGTTTTTTTTTTTTTTTTTTGAGGAAGGCTGATAAAAGCACTTAAAATAGAATGAAAGTTAGTAAAATTTTAGCAAAATTTAAAAGGATTTACATTAATGCTCAAAAGTAGAAGGAAAAAATCTACAATTTTCTCAAAAATATTTGTATAGCTTAACCTTTTATTTTTTTTAAAGATCTCTTTTCCAAAAGTCTTGCAACCTTTTTTTTCCAAGTATTCCGACCTTATTTCCCACGTCTTTGCCCCACATCACACTCAATTGCAGTCTCTATGTTAGTTTTCTGAAGTCTAATAATTTCAATCTTATTTAATGGCTGGTGTTGATAAATCAATGAATCACTACCATTACCTATATAAGCTCAAACCAACACCACAAAAATCTTAGGGATAAGATCACACAAGAGGCTCATGCTTGAAAAGTTTTTTTTTTTTAATTTTAAAACAATATATTTGACCTCGTCAAAAGTTATAAGTGATTTATGCAAGGACTAAATTTTTTAAGACAAAGTACAATAGATTTTGTTTTTCCTGATAGAGAAGAAAAGGGAAGAAAACTTTACTAGAAAAAAGCAAAAAACGAAAGGAAAACAAAAAGAAGTTAGGATCTCCAATCCCCTTTAACAAGCTAGAGAGAAGGTCGATTGATCAAATAGATATTGTCATTAAGTTATTATAACAGTAATTATTTGTTATAATGGTTGTAAATTTGTGCTCTCTCTTTCTTTTTCTCTCTATGTTTTTTTTTTTCCCCGTATGACTTAAACTTGTGATCTGTTATTTGTGAGTCATTTT